TTGTATTGAATGTTCAATCTATTATTATAAAGTCGTCATCAGCACCATGTTGTATTTGTGAAATACCACTGGCTGGTTTACGGAAATAGAAAAAAAATCGATCTTTCATCATTATGGGTAGAACCTTAATTGACGTTTATTGCGCGTGTCATATTTTTGCAATACAATACTGTTATTTCTGCTGATTTTGGTATGTTCTGCGTCGAGTCGAGACTTTTAGTTCCTCCGTAATTCCTGTCAATCCATTGAAAATAAACATACTTTTAACGCCACAGCACGGTGTGTGTTGTTTATCACTAATAACTGGACTTTTTGAGTAACGATCATGCCGAGTGCGACTGTGATGCAATGTCTCAACTACTCATAAGAAAAGAAATAGTAATAACATAACATAACATTACGCCTTTTATCCCCGAAGGGGTAGGCAGAGGTGCACATTATGCCACTGTACAATGTAACACCCACTTTTCACTATTTATGTTATGAGTCCCATGTAATAGGGGGTGAGCCTATTGCCATATACCGGGCACAGTTCCAGACTCCGTGCTACTACTGAGAATTTTTTCAGAACCTAGTAATACTTTGCCCGACCCGGGAATCGAACCCGAGACCCTTTGCCCGGCATTCGCACTTGCGACCACTCGGCTAATAAAATAATAATAATAAATAATCATTATTTTATTTATTGTATCTGTTTGTTTTCCTTCCCTCTGTAGGTATTTATAAAGGCCATGTCATGATACCTACCACATCTATGATTTGAGTAGGGCCTAGATATAAAACTGAGCTAATGACTATTTTAGTAACGGTTCCTTCCATGCTTTGCAATTTCATGAAACGCGGGCGTTAGATTTAAAAATGCGCAAAATCTATATCAATAAGACTCGGTGAGGTAGACACATGTGTCCACCAGTAACTGGCCACCTGACATAGCTAACACGTTACAGATTTAACACTAATAAGTATGCTTCAAAGATACCAAGCCATAAAAACCCATTAAGACATTAAAAAATTATTAAAAATTATTAAAAATGCGCAAAATCTAAATCAATAAGACTCGGTGAGGTAGACACATGTGTCCACCAGTAACTGGCCACCTGACATAGCTAACACGTTACAGATTTTACAGAAATAAGTATGCTTCAAAGATACCAAGCCATAAAAACCCATTCAGACCCTTTTAAATAGCTTTTTTCAGTTAATTATTGATCGGACATAACCTCAAAATAGTGATTTTATTTTGTGAATATCTCGAAAATGCCAATGTATTTTGTGTTAAATTTTTTGAGGTAGTATTTGGACATGCCATCGAATATTTTAAAGATTATTTCATGGAGACACAACAATGTTGAATTCAGTACATTTGTCCATAGTGCCGTGGGCATTCTCCTTTGTGTTAGTTTAAAGTCTCTATACTCTAGACTCTTGTTTTTTAAAGATTAGACTTTATACTCAAAATTTTGAATATTTATTCGCAGCCAATCGTGCATTACATTCATATAGTTTTAACTTAGACTCAGAAATGGTACTAATAACGTGAGTCCTCATTTGAAATTGAAACGGTAAAAAGAAAGTCCATCCAAATAATGCAATTATAAACATTTATTTATCACATTGTTAAGCAAAACAAAAAATGATTAATCGTTTATACCGGAGCGGCTAAATAACGCTAAGTTTAAGGAAATTGTCTATTCGGGGCAAACGAGGCTGTTAAAGTAAACGACGTTGGTACTAGGGATGGGTGGCAACGTCTGGACAAGGATAAAACTTTCTTTTATACTAAAACATTATTTCAAATTGTACCTACTGAGTATGAGGTTGATATTCAATATGATAATATGTGATGTAATAACAAAACAGACAAAAGTTGTTATATGAGTTTGTGCTGTTGAATTATAAGGTTATTATTAATCAGCGGACTAGCTGTTCTACCATCTGAATTGTGTCTTCTGTATAGTCATAGTCATCATTACATTCACCGACAGCCTTTAAATGCCCACTGCTGAGTTAAGCCTCTTCTCATACGGAAAAGGTTCCACGCTTGCTCAATGAGGGTTGGCGATTTCAAAACTTATGATTAGAAATTTTAAGCCCAGGTTGCCCCACAATGTTTTCCTTCACCGTTTGTCAGTGATGTCTAAATAATCCTAGAAAGTACTAGTAGTATAAGTCGGAAAAAATCGCATTGGTACTTGCCGTTGGTAGGTTTTGAAACCGCTGTTCACGAGAAGCGGTCTTCTTAAACCTCCGGGCTATAACTTAAAATCACGCTTTTTAATCCCGAAGGGTTAGGCAGAGGTGCACATTACGGTGCTTAATGCCACTGTACAATGTAACATCCACTTTTCACTATTTATGTTATGAGTCCCATGTAATAGGGAGTAAGCGAGCCTATTGCCATATACCACAATTTTAAACTCCGTGCTACTACTAAAATTCATTAAAAAAAACCGAATAGTATTTTGCCCGACCCAGAAATCGAATCCGAGATCCCTTGCCCGGCAAGTCGCATTTGCGACCACTCGGCCAATGAGACAATCTACTACCAGAAAAGAAGAAAATAGAAAAACAACCATTATTGACAACAACAACTAGTGGTCATAGTGTCTTATTTTATCGACATCGATAAAATATGACGACTAGGCCATCTCTACTTCTAAGATTGTGAGGCATACAATGATTTAGATATTCCGTCAGCTATTTCCGGAATTATTTCGGTCCTCGCAAACTTGCCTGTTATTATTAGCCTCTGTTGCTATTATGCCAAAGATAAGGGGTTCCTTCTAAATAAAGTAATATCATGTTTTGTTCTATAACGTTTCTATGGGGAAGAAAAAGTAGTTGGCGATTTATTTGTTTGGGAGTTGATTGCCTTGTTGAGTCTGTATTTAAAGGGTCAAAGTGTTAATGAGTTTCAAAGTTTGCGGTGTTCGTATGGGTACGGAGTTTTGTACGTAGTGGCCAATATCCCCTATTGTTGGACATTGTATTACCCGAGTTCAAAAAGATTGAATGATGTAACTGTTCATTATCAGGACTTGTTTAGCTTTTCATTAATAAAAGTACCTCAATTTTCCAAAATAATAGCCGCCTATGTTACTCCTTAGTACATCAGCTATCTGCCAATAAAAGTCTCGCCAAAATCGGTGTAGACATTCCAAAGATAAGCCAGTACAAAGAGACACACAGACGGGCAGACAGAAAAAAATTGTGATAAGTATTATTTTGGTATGTGTATCGTTGTGTCATTTATAAGCATAAGTATAAAAATTGGTTATTTTAATATCACTTTAATATACAAATAAACACACTAATTTTATTTATGTATAAAGATTCACTATCAAATTGCCAAATACTGAATTAGGTATGAAATACTCTCCTCAATTTTCCCCAAATGTTTAATGCAATGTTTTTTTTTAGTTGTGTCCCCAAAGTACACATCGCCCTATTTCGGGCCCGATCTCTGATTTAAATGTAAAAACTCTTCGGAAATGTTTATTTAAGAAAATTGGTAGACCGGCTTAGTGTGTGGTTGTAATAGGAAATTATTTGTGTTGATAAGTCGCGGCTTCCGATGTGGACACTACCATTTGTTACTTTGGAAATATTTTTAAAGAAATTTTTTTGAGTCGGCTTTTTTCAATTTATAAATTGTAACTTATAGAATGCAGTGTAAGAGAAGTGTATGTCGTGGTTGCCCGGAGGTTTAAGATGCCCGCTTTTTATGCATGAGGGTACAGGTTCAAAACCTACCAACGGCAAGTACCAATGTGACTTTTTCCAAGTTATATGTACTTTCTAAAATTATCTAGACACCACTGACAAACGGTGAAGGAATACATCGTGAGGAAATCTGCCAACCCGCATTGAGCAAGCGTGGTGATTAATGCTCAAACCTTCTCGTGTGAGAAGAGGCTTTGTTCAGCAGTGGGCATTTAATGGCTGTTGATGATGATGATGATGATGAAAAGAGGGGTAAAAAGACTGCCTTGGTTGTTACCTAGCTAGATAATCAAGTTTTCAAACATAACTTGAGGCTGCAAGGGTTTAAACTGGGTCAAGTTTTGTAAAGGTTTCTATAGCATAATACCTACAAGTAGCATGGAAATAATAACTGTAAGATTTAAAAAAACATGAGTATGCAATAACTTCACTTCAGTCCACGGCAAAATTAGAATGAAGTGACATGATTTTTGCTTTCTCTACTCTCGGACTTAAACTTACATTTTTTTCAACTGTTATGATAGAAAATTATTTAAACACCCTTAGTAGGGGAGTCGGAATTGATTCGACATAGTAATGCCCTCGACAGACTCTCCATCACGCTCGTAGCCATCTTCGCATAATTTCCTCGGATGCTGCTCGAATAAATAACATCAAAATCAACTTTCGTCTTGGAAAATCTTGGGTGATATAAAAATTAACTCGTTTTTCGTGGGACCAAGCGCAATATTGCGTTTTATTTTTGCTCAATATAAGATTCAATTTTGTTTGGTACTTTTCTGTTTATGTACTTTTAGCATATCAGTTGTTTTGTTGGAGTATTGTTGAACGAGAAAATAGTGAAATAATGACTTCTAGTTGTGTTGGCTATTTAACAATATTTTAGAGGTATCTCATCGAGTTTATATCGTAAGAATAAAAATGCTTCAACTTCAAACGTATCTTTGTTTTCGAATTTAACACAGATCTATGACATTTGTAACTACAGAACAAGCCACAAAATAGTTCAAAATATTTCTTTAGGAAATTATCAAGCCACATAAATGTACGAGAATTTTACATGAATGTATTAATTCTAATATTTATGACACGCGTCATTATTCACAACGGGGGGAGGTGATAAATCGAGAAAAATTCCAACAATAGAATTCTCATCTGTCAAACTGGTTTGTTACAAAAGGATTATTGGCGAGCGCTGGGAAAAGTTCTTTTGTAACAATTACGTGTAATCGCAATTTGATACTTCAGTTAATGACGATTGCTTTTGTTATCTAAGTGTGGGAGAGCCATGCTTTGGCATGAAAGGGCCGGCACGACTAGAGTGATACTACGGCCTCACAGAAAATTGACGTGAAATAACACTTGCGTTGGGTTTCGTCGTGTCCTCAATCTCACCAATCCCCGATATCCTAATAATCCTCAAATTCCTAATCCCCAAAAGGGTGGAACTGCACTTGTTATACTTTGGACGTTTTGTCCATGGGCAGTGCCGATTGCTTACTACAAGGTGATCCGTCTACTCGTTTACCGGCTAATTCCAATTAAAAATGACGAAGAACAAACGTTGGCTTAAAATAGGATACATTTTATCTTTGTAGTATGTAAAATAGTGGGTAAAATGTGTTTAAGTTACATACGTTACCATCGTGGTAAGTGTTGCTAGCTCCATCAATAAATCAAACTTAGTACGGAATTCTCGAGCAAAATCTAGACAAAATGGCGATGGCATCCAGACCTCTATCAATACACGTAATGGCGGTGATTCCACTGGCACTCGGCTTACTGCAAAACTGTCAACCGGGCGACGACAGAAAATCCTTGGCTGGAATTTTTCCGAACTTTCCGATTCTTTTGAAATACGGGTTTTTTTATTTTATTTTTTTGTTACCTCAACAACATTCCGGGCGCCTTAACTTAAGCGTTCGAAGTTCAGACGTGGAAATCGAATCCTCGATAATCTGATGATGGTTCTTTTTTAAATTTTCTTCTTTTTTCTTGGATCCAGTTTTTAAAAGTTGTTTCGACTCGGATTACATTGAACCTTTTTTGATGTTTAATGTTTTAAATGTTTATAAGAGAAGCGTTGAGATATTTTAGATAGTAAACTTGGGGCTTTTTGAAAGATGAATTTTATCCGTTTATTTATTTATGCTTTAATAGGTACTTGCGATCATGAAATTCTTTAGACGTCTATCACCTTTTTGAAAGTGTTCAGACGTTCTGATCGGAAATTACTTTCGCACTTTCATTTTAGTTGGTAGTAAAATATTCTCCACTAACTCTGGACTTCGATCTATTTTTCTATACTAAAGTTTAAATGATATCGTTGTGGCCCGGAGGTTTACGACGCCCACTTCTCATGCATGAGGGTGCGGGTTTGAAACCGGTAGGTCGGAAAAAGTCACATACCAATGTGAGTTTTCCGAGTTATATGTACTTTCTAAGATTCTTCAGACACCACTGACAGACGGTGAAGGAAAACATCGTAGGGAAACCTAGGCTTATAATTTCTAATTATAAGTTTGAAATCACCAACTCGCATTGAGCAAGCATGGTGATTAATGCTCAAACCTTCTCCGGGTGAGAAGAGGCTTTGCTCAGCAGTGGGCATTTATAGGCTGTTGATGATGATGATGATGAAAGTGTAAAAACAAATTCATTTATTCCATAATCGATTTTCATCCAATCCTTTGGGTACTCAGCGCATAGTACGGAAGGCAAAGATATATCGTTATAGCAAGTTTTACAAAGTTTAATGGTCCAATTACACATGTAGAATATGTATAACGAACTTTGAACTAAAGTAATAGTTAGGCATGCATATCAAATGAAATAGAGAGGGAACTGCAACTCAATTAGTAGTAATTCCTTGAGGATGGGAGTGTCCTTAATGGTATGTTACTCTCATGTACCTGAACAAACATATATTAGTGCTTACAATTACTTTGAGCTTGGTCGGTAACGTTTTTGTTGTATTAATCCCAAGTACAATTCTAGACTCCGTGCTACTACTAAGAATTTTTAAAAACCCAGTAAATCTTTGCCCGACCCGGGAATCGAAGCCGAGACCCCTAGCCCGGCAGCTGCACTTGCGACCAACGAGGTAGTTATATGGCAATAGACTCACCCCCTATTATATGGGACTCATAACATGAATAGTGAAAAGTGGGTGTTACATTGTCCAGTGGCATAATGTACACCTCTGCCTACCCCTTCGGGGATAAAAGGAGTGATGTTATGTTATGTTATGTTATATTTTCTGTGTGTTTGTGTTATTAATGTTTTCCAAGTTTGTCTAATGGCAATATCATTAAAACAGTCGGATAAAGACTAATCATATCTTCTGTCCCTACTTTTTTTTTATGTTGCCCCACACTAGGAATTTCTTCTGTGTCGTAGGTGCGTTTACAAACATACAAGTTCACATACACATGACACCAAGACAAGATGACACAAAGAGTTGTTCCGTGCGGGAATCGAATCCACAACATGTAGCGCGGCAGCCATTTGCCCAACCACCACGTCAATAGTGCAGTCTATTATTATTGCTAGCTTCAATTATGGAATTTTAATTTAAAAACGTCAATTTTTTTAAAATTAAAATATAATCATTCGCATTTCATAACTTACTACTTACTAGCGTACTCAATAGTAGTACGTAACTACTATAAATATTTTTTTTTAGGTCACTTTGCTAGCAAACTGACCTTGTACGCAACACTGTCAGTCCAGCCAAAGTCACCCAACCAAACTAAATGGAACACACAAAATAAACTC